CTGTTCTCATGTATTCTTTTTTTCCATGAAACTGGCATGAATAGTACCGATAGTACCCATTGACACGGTTACGTTTGTTCGACTGAATCATTACCAACTATCCATTAGGAATGAATGCGAGTGATCTGACTGGCATGGTAGGTTGACGTTATATGCATGTATTCTTTGATGTTTGAATCTTCCTGAGTTCACTTTATATAACGTATTGTAAATTTAACCAATAGTATGCTTTGATGCTGCCGGAACATTCCATTCTGATGCATCTTCGTATATTGTCAACTTATAATCATCTTTAAGCTAAAGAAACTTTCTTGCTGTGCGTTAGTGCATATCTACATTGTGCAATATAATTAAATTCAAAGGTAAAACTTTCCTAGTTCAGTTGCATTGTTTTCACTAGAATGTATTTCGTTTTATTTACTTCAAACAACTTTCTTAATTATAACTTTGCACAGATATAATCTAATGTCGTATGTATTAAAATAGGCATTGCAGTCTCAATTTTTTTTTATGAATCACTAAGATCAAGTTTATATTATTTAATTCCATGTGGTATTCATAGAAACCACATCTCCAATTCCTGGAGTACTTAATTTCAACATTTCCCTCTCAAATTTAGTTTAATAGAACTTAATATATAAAAATCCAAGTTATATTTTATTATTTATTATTAACATATCTTGGCACATGCAAATGACTATGTAAAAGACTGGTCTACCAAATCACCGTTATATGTTCCTACTTATTCAAACAAATCTACATCACTTAAAAGTCAAATAATGTTTTCTGGTTTTATGTTTGTGTTTTTCATTTTTCTACCAGATACTAGTAGTTCAATTCAATTCACCTTAACGAAAAAATCTTCTGCACATCTGCACGATATAAAGACCCTAAACAATAATTAATTTGGGAGTGCATTAATTTGAAAAGTATGAAATCGTATTAACATTTTTTTTATATTATTATTTCCTTTTTTAACGAATGGGGTGCAAACACTTTGCCATATATAAATTGTGTTCTAAACTGCCATTTAACACTAAATTCAAAGCACGGTGCTTCTAAGATCCGCGAGTTTTTGCTGCGCCATTCATCTTGCAGGGGCAGCGACAAGCGGCAAGATGTTCTGGATCTCTACCGCCGTCTTAACCCCTGTAATACCCCAGCCCTTACAAGAAACCGCGAAATTCACGCACACACGACACATGCGGTTTATGCAATTACCTCCAACCCATAGCTGTGTTCTAACTAAATTGCTTTTGTTTTGTAGATTCCACAGCAAAAAGGCTTAGAATGTAAAAGGTTTAGCAGGGAAAACGGTCGATTAGGAAAAAAAGAGCATAATTTCAATTATGTTTGCGTAATGTTTATCAAGTAGAAGTTGAATGATAATGGGCAGTATTTTTTTTTATAATTTTTTACAAAAGAGTAAAATACTGATTATATAATATAAAAATATTGAATTTATCTGCATTGTTGTATTAGTATTGTTTCAGTATTAATTATTCTGAAATCAATAGATTCTGTAGTAGTTTGTATATAGTGTGTTGATAATCTATTTATTTGGTTATATATTATATACAGAAATATATATATATATATGTAACCGTTTTCATCAACCCTAGAACGATCTGGCACAACAATGCGGAGCACGTACTGCGAGCCAAGCTCGCGATTAATTTTTCCTTCGAGGATTTTCCAAGAGTTTCGTGTAATTGCGTTTGTTACACTCTTTGCGAACTTCGCAAGAAGTGTGCTTATTGCGTTTCACTTCGAATACATCTAATCTTCGATTTCTCCACCATCCTACCGAAACAGAAGTAGAAACACAAATATAGCTAAATAACAAAAACATACACATGAATTGTTCGAAAACTGCGATTCAGATAAATACATTTTGATTACTTCATCATCACATATATGTGGTGCTATACCTTTACCGTAAAAAACAGCAATACCTCGCATAGCCCGGCTTCGACAAGTCTGGATTCACTATAGTCCGATTGAAAATTACAAAACAAACAAAAATTTAATTGATCAAAATACACAATTAATTATTTTTTCCTGTACACATTTTTTGATATTTATTTAATTTCTAGATTTATGCGATTTCAAATCAATTATTTAGCAATATAATAATTGGTTCCACCAATAATGTTTTCAATTCTGACATAACGAATTGAGTAATAACGTTAAATTATAAAATTGTAAAAAATAACAACGTAATGCAGGAAATACTATTACACAACAATGTTTCGGTATAAATCACCCTTAAAAGATTATTTTAAATTTAATTAAGAATATACACGTATTTCAACACGCAAGTGTGTTTTATCATGAAAGCAATACGAATACTAATATATATTTCTTCTTACATTCAAAATAAAGTTGATATATTTAATGTTCATTCCAGCAAATAAAGTTACCTTTTAAAATGGCAAATTATTGTACACTCATTATTAATATGTATATACATGTCTAATAGTATTTCAACTATTTGCTATTGCTGTGTTTGTTAATGATGAGTTTATTAATAAATTCTAAATGTATTGTATTCCAGTAAAAAAATATGACAAACCACTATATCGATTTGCGCTATAAAAAAAGCTGTTCGACCCCATTACGCTGTACGCACGCAAAGTCTATTTCCCGTCGCAACACATTACGTAACATTAATTTCATCAAAATATTAATACGAATTAATAGGTATTGATTTTCACATAATAATGTAGCTATTATATTCTCATAGATGTAAAAGAAAACCTCGCTTAAGAGTTTAATCCGTTCCAAAATTTCCGGATTTTTACTCGTATAATGATGTAGCATGCGCGCAATCCGGGACTTCTCTTCTCATCGTCACTCGTTATGCGAAACCGTTGCTCGTTAAGGGAGGTTCCACTTTAGTTTATATTTGAAGAATTGATTATATAAATGTGATTCGCAAATATAACTTTATGATTCAAATGAAATGAAAGTTAATTTAAGTAAGTCGGATTGCAGAATATTATAGAATAGGGATGTCGTGTATTGAAAACAGTATTTGCTAATTGTTAAGTTTTCGTATATAAATTATTTAATTATATGCACTAAAATTTCAGTGTATTGGAATATTTATTGAATGAGAAAAAGTATGGTTGTTTGCTATCGTGATGAAATGCAAATATAAAGTTGTGCATTTTAAATCAATTATCGGAATTCCGTTGGAAAATGTTTGATAACGGATGTTGCGAGGGTTTAAAATAAAAGTAGCAAACGTCGCGCCGTTTCGCACGGCTGGAATTTATGTGAGTCTTATGCTGCTCGGGTTCGGGTATTGGAAAAGTTTTAAATACAGCATGGCGAGATTTAATAATTCTTTTGTACTTTCTCCGCCGTCGGCAAATTTAGATATTCTCTACACGTCGTAGTAATTCTGGATTAAATACTATATGCCTTCAGCCAATTATCGCAATCGATACTTTGGCCAAGTTTCAAGTTGGAAGTTCATTCCTTAATCATTTAAACTGTATAACAAATATTGATTCAATCTTAATTCTCTTCGATTTATAATTTTAATTTTACTTGATTTACTCGTTTGATATTGCGAGTGAATAGATATTAGAAAATAAATGTGATTGTATTAAGATATGTAATTATGTGAACGACCTTACTTACTACTTACTTTCCATGTGGACCGCTGAAAAACAACAAGTTTAGTTGATTTGGACGATGAAAATCTAACGAATCAAATATGTATCGATTTCGTTCGGACAAATCGTCCCGGAATATTTTTCCTGGTATGCATTTACAACGAGACCCACCCCTAGCTGTTCTGTACACGTTGTTTTACATTAAACAACAAGTGCCCTTATTTACACTCATTTATTATTTAAATCCACCCCCATAAATCATACGTATTTGTCCACCGTTCCTATATGTTTGTGTATGTGTGTATACAAAAGAGTGCTGTTTATGAGTGTGCTAGTCGTAATAGTTAGGGATATATCGCGTTCTCCACGAAAAATTTAACTTTACATATTCCACTGCAATTAAAGATACTTTGCACTTTGGCCCTACAACTATTTACATAATAATCCACTACGAATTACTTCCCTTTTGATGCTACGGCCACTGACAGAACTACAATTTAACCCTTTTAATATCACAAAGTCTTTAATTTACCAACATCGTTTGACCTCCAGCAATGCAACTATTGTACAATTTACTATCAATATTAATTTGTTTATTATTTAATAATTTGAAGTTTATAATAATGTAAATTACAAATTAATATAATTTTTAAAGAAATCATGCCAAATCAGTGTTTCTAGCAAAACTTGCATATATTTTGCATTTTAATATAAGTATTAAAGATATTATAAAATGACGAAAGTCGCAATTTTAAAATAATTTGGATACTATTATTGCATTGTATTATACTAAGAACAAAAGAGAACACAATGAATTCCTTTGCGGAAATCTTATAATCTCTGTTTTTCCTTCTTACAATTGGAGAAAAAGAATTAAGGCTCGCCATTTGAAGGTATTTAAGATCAGTGCCGTGCGGATACGGATATTCATTATACGTTTGTTCTGCGCTATTTCTTTTTAATACACATTTTCTTTTCAATTTTTCCTTCACGTGGATTCGCGGCACGCGATTTTGGAATCGCACGCGATTTCCATAAAACTTTAAGCTGTATACACTCAGCTAAGCGTATAAAGGTATTGCCATTAGTTGAAAATTAGTTGAAAATTAATATTAAGGTCTTCGGATGTGGTCTGTGTTCACTAAATGTGTGTTAAAAAAAATCGCCCAATTGATTTAGTAAAGTTTGCTTTTTCCTCGAACACAAGGTGAATTTGGACACAATCGATTACTTGATTCGAAACTCAACGTTTAATTGTGTCACTACAACGAATTTAAATTGCGAAAGTGCCAAATGTATTCATTATATTCTCTTCTATTTACCTTTTACTTTTTTCCATACTGTTTCTAAAAAAATATATTTGCTTTGTTATAGGACAATTCATCAATCACTACGACAGTCAAGTTGTGGAATATCACACAAACCGTAAGTTACCACTTTTCGATTGGATTTTTTTTTAATATAATATTTTTTTGAAAAGCAATCGAATTTGTTATTGTACGTTTATCCTCACGCGAATAACGTCGCCGTTATTAATTTATTCATTATAAAAGCCAGAAACGAATTCGATATTGTTGTACGTTTTTTTTATTTTTTTGTAAATATAATTTTCGATCTGAAATAAATTGGAATACGGCAAACGAATTCGTATCTAGCAGGTCAATCAGTATTGCATATAACAGGACCACCCTAACCCATATATTCAACAACATGATGTACGAAACGTGCGGTGTATTGATTTTGGTTACTACAATAAATCAAAGCTGTCAATGAGTTTATTATTTCGTCGACGGTTCTACGATTTTATTATCTACGGAATTACCTCAAAATAATGAAACCTACTGAAACGGATAATTGATATAAATCTTATGCAGTTTTTGTATTTTCACAATACAATTACAAACAACATACCATTCTACATATAAACAATCAAAGTTTGAATCAACTAAAATTTGAACTGTTTAAATAAAATACAAAAGTTTTAACAAAAGTACAAATGTCTTTCACGTTCAAATAAATTAATTATATGCTAAATATATAATTGATTCTAAATTAAGAATAAATATTACACATAGTGTTAATTTGATTAATTGATCATTTGCTTATAAAATGATTACAAGAACATTTTACTATTTTGTAGAATGTGCGTATACAGCATACAAATTTATCGTCGTTTCTTTTTTACTGGATTTTCCGCGATTTTATATTTGAATAGATTTAAATGAATTTCAATATAACATTCAGTTATGAAAGGAAGGATATGCCAGTCGACATAAATGCTAAGCAGTGGGTGCCCATCCTCCGAAAAAATCTAATCTAAACAGCTTGGCATCACGAAAAAATGGTCATATGAATATCTATTTTTTTTTTCATCTAAACAAATAAATAAGTATATAAAAGCATTCAATATTGTATTAGTTAACTTAAATTAAATGAGAGTCCAAAAAGGCTTATTAAGGTATTAAGATACTTACTTATTATACTAAAAATATAAATTAGATTTTTTGATTTTAATGCTAATTATTATTTATTAGTTCCCGGCGCATCCATTAATTGTATCCATTGTTTATTTTACATTTGAACGGTATAATTATAAAATAACATTCGAAAACAAATTTAGAATTAAAATTAATTGATTAACTTTGAACCGAGAATAATAAATCAATGCTGAATATTCATAAACAGTTTATATTTCATTTAAAATTACACAAGTATTAAAAAACATGGGCGACTAATAGCCGAATGATTAAGTCACCCTGCCCACGATTTTGTGGGCGCCCTTAAATATTTGGGTAGGATCACAAAACATGGATAAAGAAACAGTTGTATTTTCCACAAGATCAAAACTGATTTCCTTACCTCCCACGCAGTCCCTTTTTGAAATGGACACATTTTTGTATTATATAATTTAGTCTTAGATAGGGAGCCGAACTGAGAAGATAGTTTTAGTTAGGGGACCTGACCTTTGTTTGATAATTGAATATTTACTTACTGAAATGAAATTGCATATAAAATAATTAATTATTGACATAGACTATATTAAACCATTTAGAAAGTTATTAATTATGATTAATATAGTTTTGATAAAATTTTCTAACAAGAAGAATATAAAGAATCATTAAATGAACTTATTGTAACTAGTTAAAATTATATCTCATTATATATCATACAATATGCTATGATCATAATATCGAAATAATTATATATAAAAAACTGAATATTGAGATATAAATATTGTTTAGTTGAATGAAAAATATCAAAGATATATAATAACAAAAAGCGTATTGGTTTTGTAATTTAGGTAGGTGCAGGTTTCCGTTGATTATCGATATTTGGTTTAGGTACTCGAGGGGCACATTAATGCCGGAGTTCCGCATTCCCGTGTGGTTGGATGAATTAATTTTCATTTAAATTATGAAATTTATAATTGGTGGGCATTATTGGCAGGAAATTTCAATGGCTCGATTAAGTAATGGTGCGTGGACAATATAATTTGGTGAATGCGAGCCCGATGCTTCACTTCAATAACTAGATTAGCAAACATCTTTCTATACAAAATTATTTTCATTCTTACAAACCAATACTAAATATACTTTTTAATATTCGACATAATATACTTTTAAATTGAATGTAAATTAAACAAAATATATAATTTCGGAATTATCGTGATGAACTATTCCAAATTAATGCTTTGTGGATAATCAAACAGAGTTCTGCTTGCAATAGAATTTAAAATCACTTTCCAAATTGACCGTTAATCTAGACTTTACAGTGAAAACCATTGCGCAAATATTTGTTTTGTAACGTTGAATTGAATCTATTCACGTTCCGCATTTTATTTGGAAAATAAATATAGGGACAATTGAGAATTAGGAATCTAAATAAATGATTTTCATTTCCATAGATATATATTTTCTATAATAATTTATTTATTAGAATATGCATTGTTACTTTTATATTTAAAATATAGAACAAAAATCTGAACATGTATATATTAAAGAAATTTGCAACTTAAAAGTATTACTGCTTCTAATACAAAAGATAATACAGACAATATACAGTGGAGCCTCGCTTAACGAGCGACGTTTCGCATAACGAGTAACGATGAGAAGATAATTCCCGGATTGAGCGCCTGCTACATCATTTTTTAAATTTTAAAACTTTTGTACACATATTATGTATATTTTTGAATATGTTTCACTATACGAGTAAAAATCCGGAAATTTTGGAACGGATTAAACTCGTTAAGCGAGGTTCCACTGTATTATCTTTTGAAATATTAATAGCTCGTGAATAAATATAGTAACATAATATAATAAAATAAATAAAAGCCAATTTACAATTAATTTTGGAATACTTTGTTGGGACTTGGTCTTATTCATTAATGTTATTTGATATTCGAACATATTAAAACAATACTTTGGAGTGAGTTTTCAAAATTCTATGAATATAAACGAGTTTTCTAATTAGCGGTAACTACTGAAAAATAGCGATTTGGAAACAATAATTATATGTTGAATTGCTGAAAATAATTTTGTAAATTTCGGTGAATGCCCTTTATGTGCCGTTATACAATAAATTTAATATATTATTAATTCAATAAATACAAATTATGTGTTTATGTAGTATTTTTGTATCACAATGTATTGCAAACTATATATTACAAGTACAATTTAAACAGACAAATATAAATGGGGGTGACATGGAAACAAGCAGTTGTAGAGAAAATTGGTACAGAGTAAATGACAAAGGAAATGAAGTCACCGGATAGGATTTTTAATTACAATCACCAGGTGTTCGGTTCTAAAACTCTATGTATAGTGCTCTTGTTATCGACGTTATATAACGAATGGGTAGGTGATATAACTTCCAGCCCGACCCTCCAATTCAAATTTACTATACTTCCACTCAGATGCACACACACTCATATTGCTTCCAGAGGACTTTTATTCAGCAACACCAGACCTAAGTTATTTCTAAGTTTTTCATCTGAATTTGAAAATCCTTAATTATATATATATATATGAAAGTTTTCGAAGTGTCAATTACCAAAAATATCGGTATTTTGCACGTTTTGCAATTTTCCTATTTTAAAATCAATATTTACACCTAAAATTGTTTTGTTTCATTTTACAAGAATAAAGCTGCACGTTTATATAATCATATGTAAATCTATTAATAGTAGTAGCTTCCAACTTTTAAAATATTAAATCATAAATTTACAACTGTTGTTGCAATTATGTTTCTTTTAATACGTGTATACAAAATTACACAAAAATAAGAATGTAGTTCAGCATTAATCTCTTCAGCAATAATCATATATGATTATTTGAATTAAACTCTATCTGATGATTTATATATGTGTAATTTATGAATGTGTATGAAATTATGACTAATTTGAATTATTATAATAATCAAATTTTATTATAATAATTCAAATTAGAACGAAATGAAACGAAAATACTGGAATTATATATTATAAATAATACAAGTTTTTATTGGAAATAACAGTTTGTATTTATATTTAAATTATTAATTTTATTTATATCAATTCATTGAAATTTATATATTTGATTTAGTGGTTTTAATATTAAAATATTAGGTATGATGTGCATATGGATAATCACTTCAATGTTAAAAATGATGTTATACGAGAACAATTGCGTCGATTTACCAACTAGAGAGAATGTGTAGCAATTGAAGCCACTCGAATCCGGTTTTTGCAGGCATACCACTACATCGCTATTTTGAATATACGCTATGATAATGAACCGAATGCTATTCACATCAATATGGAATAAACAAATGGTACATATTGTTATTAAACAAGTGGTCAATTTCAGTAAGAGGACTAATGTAGCGAATGTGTAATCCGGTATGCGCAATATGTGGTCCCGTAAGCACGTTAATAATGCATTAGCAATGTATCCTAGTTAGTATGAAGCTGGCTCACATACGTTGACCCAAATTGTATGTGTTTATATACGAACATGTATATAGATTCTGATTAGATATGCGCTTTCTATTAAGCAACTCTTTATGGTGTTCTCGACACTAAGTTTGTCCAGGAAAAGTTTCTAATTGAAAACGAGAAGAAAAGCAGGGAGCCTCAATTGACTCGCCTGCAACTGACTGCATAGCACATACTGACCAATTAAAAATCATTTCGAAAGCATTGCATAAACCAGGATTTGGTCCCAGAACGTCGGTTCCTTTGGGACGAATAAAAACTTCTTTACTTAATTTCCAGCCTAGCCTGTTTTGCACTTCATTTTACTACCACGCCTTCAGCCCAGACTTTTCCCATTAACACTAAATTATTAAAATTTCAAAATAATCCTGCTTTATACTTCAGCTCCTCTCAACAATAACTAATTAATTAATCCCTTCATTCATACAACTTTTTTTCCTTATTATAAAAGTTA